GGTACGGGGGAAGGATTGCGTGGAGGAGATTGTAACCATGGCAATGAGACGATATACAATAGAATGAATGTAAGGCTGATGTTCTCCCATGTAAACTATCACATAATTCACAATAAAACATTAAAAAAAAAAAAAATGTCACCACGTAACTTCCTCCCTTCACCTTCCTCTAATAAAACATCTTATGAGAGGAGAACATTAGCTTCAACTTCAGAAGCAAAAGTCATATAGTCACTTTTTCAGAAAGTTTACCAACTTGAAACAATCAATTCATTTCAGAACATTCTAAATATAAAACTATGGCCAAATGATTCCCAATGTATGGCAAATATATAAAGAGTAAACATATTATAATTTTTACATTGATATTTTACCGTTTTAAGCATGAAAAGTATCATGAAATAATGACATTGTTTATACATCAGTCTCATACACACTGCAAACAATCAAATTACAAGTATTATTATCACTAGCTCTCCATAATTTAGGGGACACAGTGATCCAGTAAACTGGCCAGAGTGGCCAGGCATATGGTAAAGAAAGAACTTAGTTTTGAGCTATGGGCAAGGTCAAAAAAAGAAAGTCAAAGTGAGATTACACAATACCAGGAAGTAGGTCTTCCAAGGAATGGTGAATCCCTGAAGTTTCACCTAACAAAGAAAGTTTTTGGTTACAATTTGCTTTCACATAGATTTTCCTAGAGGGAGGGAAAGTGTCAATTAATTAACTTAAGAAGTTATTGGCTATTAAGATTCCAATTCATAGACGCACAGGTTTATCCCCAACAAAATGTGTTTAAACATGTCTCTGTGATTAGTAGATGGCTGCAGACAAGTTATTTCAGTAATATATTTGTGTTAGTCTTGTCAGGAAGCTTACAATAAATGGTGCAATTCAAACTGGCCTTCAAGGGAACCTGCGGGACCAGTTCAATGAAAGGCCAAGAGGTCAGCTCAGATTATGGTGATTGCTTTTTGGGATGCCCAAAGGGTTATCTTGATAGATTACCTTGAAGGTCATAGGATAATCACAGGAGCTTATTAGGAATAAGTTGTTTTTTAAATTGAGAAAGCCGGAAAAATTGCACTAAAGATTTTTTTCCATCATGACAATAAACTTGCTCATTCTTTGAGGGCAACAGGGGCTGTCCTAGGAGAATTCAATTAGGAAACCTTACCCCATCCACCCTACTACCCTAACCTTGTCTGTTCAGACATGTTTGCTCCCAAAACTCAAAGCAAAGACTATTTAAAAGGAACATATTCTGAGTCCTTCAAGAATGCCAAAATTGCCATTTTGATGCAGTATAAATTGAAGAGAACAAAACTCTTTGGGGAAAAGTTAGAAACATTGCCTTCAGAAGCATATAGCCCTAGATGTAGGATATGTCGAGAAACAGTCACTTCATATTTTGATATTTTTCATAAAAGTTTCTGAGATTTTGTAGCAATACTTTTTTCACTTACCCTCATATGCTTCCCAATGCTGTTTTCATATTGTTGTCAGGTTCCAACTCATAGCAATCCTATATAGGCTTTCCAAGGCTGAAAATATTTATGGGAGCAAAAAGCCTCACCTTTCTCCCATGGAATGTCTGGGAGATTCGAATTGCTGACCTTGAGGTTAGCAGCCCGACTCATAACCACTACACTACCAGAGCTCCTTCTACTCTGACTTACAGGGGCATAAGTCATAAGAATCAACTCAGTGGCAATGGGTTATAGGTAACAAATATTAGTGATTAGATTTGAATTTTTTATTGTTGTTTTTTTTTTTAGAAAATGGTAGGACAGGGTGGACTAAAGATGAAAAACTGGGAAAGGAGACAGGAAAAATCCATACATTGGTTGTAAGGCAAAGGCAGGTCATAAACACAGCAGTAGCAGCAGCTGCTGTATCCCATTTCATAGTATCAACATTTCTCCTAAATTAAACCTTATGACAGAAGAATAGCAAAGTGTTAATAAGAAAACATATTTTATAGTACTTCAATCACAGACAGAGAGTCCCTGGGTGACACAAATGAATAAACGCTTCACTCGAGCCCAAAGGTGGGTGGTTTGAATCCACCAAGAGGCATACCTCAGAAGACAGACCTAGTGATCCACTTCTGAAAGGTCACAGCTTTGAAAACTCTATGGAATAATTCTGCTCTGCATACATGGGATCACCGGGAGTCAGAATTGACTTGACAACAACTAACAAACTATAATCATAGACAAGCATATGGTTACTTGACTCTTAATGTTATAAAAGAATAGTTATATATGATGTTGTTGTTGTTAACTGTTGCCAAGTCACTTCTAACTAATAACAGCCCTGTACAGAGTTTCCGAGGAGTGGCTGGTGTGTTTCAAACCACCAACCTTGAAGCTCAAACTGACCTTGTGGTTAAGCACATTATCGTGCAGCACCACACCAGAACTCCACGATATTTTTACACAAATAATAAGCACATTTTACATTTTTTGCCAACTGCACCCTCCCCCCAAGGTATCTGCATAACCATGCTATGCTATTTATTTTTTACATGTTGTAAAAAATTAGCAGTATGTGCTGACAAAAATACCTTGGGGGAAGAACACAGTTTACAAAGAACATCTAACATGCATATAATTTGTGAGAAAATATGATAAATATTAACGTTTTGAAGGTAAATGTCCTAAGTCAGTCAGTTTTTAAAATAAACTTTTTCAATTTGGAATTTTAAAACATATATAGTACATTTTTATTTAAAGTACAGCATATACATAAATTTTTTCGATTAAGTAAAATATAACTATTATAAACATGTAAATATAACCTAAAAGTGGTTGGATTATGGCTTAAGGAAATAAAAGAGTGTGTTCAGCATTCCAGCATTCCTTACCTATTATTATAAATTGGCTCAAATCCCTCTTGGAAGCAGACAGGTTATAAATAAATAAGATCTAACTGTGCATAAATAATTCAAGACACTACAGATGACACTCAAACACATCTTTTTATTATATACTAAATTTAAAAATACAAATCTTATTAAAAATGCTTATCAAACATTGTATACATAAGAACTATCAAACACTATTAGATTATGACTATGACATTATATACATTTGCTAAAGCTAATTAGAAACAGAACAAAGTAACTTTACTTTGCTGATAATGAATTTCAGAAGTCAAATATTTTTAAATTTGGCAACTGTGAAGTAGTGATCTCCAAGGAAAATGTTTGTAGAAGTAAAAGAGTTAATAATAAAAATAAATTTTAAAACGGAATAATGCAGATATTCCTGCCCTAAGTGTTAGTAGCTAGGTTTCTTCCACATTCTCTTAAGTGTCACTATAACAAAAATTAAAGTGCACAAAACCACCAGGAATACTCGGTTTGGCTATTCCCTAAATATATATTACAGCCATCAGATTGTGCTGCTATATTGATTTAAGGGTTAAGACTCTGACGGTTCCTGAGGCTTTGGAAGTTAATTTTGAATGTGGCTAAGGGAAAAGAGGCCAACACTTTCTAAATTGCACCAAATGGCCTTAAAGTATAAAAACACTGAAGATAAAATTAATTTGAAAATAGATTCAAGGAAGTTATCCTTGACTATAACCCCCTCGGAATAAAATAAGGACATAACTTTACCTCTGGAAAAAGCTTACTAAAAATCTGTCCCAAAAGATCAGATGCGTACAGCAAGCACACAACACTGTCAGTTACTGTCCACCATTTACATACTGTGTCATAAATACCAGGCATAAATATCTGCCTTCTAAAGGTTCACAAAAATACAGGGAGAAGCATATCATTACTTGACACTAATTTTACTAATTAACATTATCATTTGTAAAAATAGGTCACCACCATACAATCAAAAAGGACAGGAAGAAAATTTGCTAGTCTACAAAAGTGCTCCTTTCAGCTTTCAAACCCAATAGCTTAATTTTGGGTAAAAAAAGATTGTAAAGTAAGGTCATCAGTTTTAAGTAAGCTGATGATGTCATATATACATACTCAAACATATATGTGTAGGGTTAAATTTCAATCCTGATTTAACACTAATATACTAGTATAAACCATTTATAGGAAACATTTCATCAGGCTTATTTACAAACACACAATGAGTGACAAAGATATGGAAATTTTTTAAATTGTTGATTAACTGTAGTCATTTAGTAACAGAGTTCACTAAGGATAAGATAAAATTGCATAATTTAAAAAAAGAAAAAGAATAAAGTTTGATAAGAAACCTCAACCACATTGGTCATTGGGCCTAAGAGACAAATGAATGTGATGATCATGATTAAATGTTTACTACTGTTTCACTTAATAGCATATCAATATGAGGTCTACTTACGGTACTACCTACAAATACACACCTTCTCATAACTCGATGAGAATATTCAATTATTCAATACATTTTTTACTCCTGTGGCATATCACACCTGATAACACTAAAAAGGTAGATTTAGGTTAACACTTAAATCATGATTATGAATGTTTAATGGAATATTTTCCTTTCTGTAGCTGTGAAATGTAAAGCTTAGATTTGCTTCCATCGGGCCTCTTAAACCAAACTTCATCATGGTTAATTGTTGTAATTATGGCACTAAAAAGGAAAAGAAAAGAAAAAAAAACAAGAAGAGATTGAAAGAACAAATTACAATATGCCTCCACTCATTTGAGAGTACAGTACTAACTACAAAATCTAACTGGCAAATAAAGAAACAACTAAACAAGAACAAAAAGGCTGGGCTACCACAGTACAATCAGATAAGTATTATTTATTAGAATGCTGCACCATCAGTTGGACATGCTATAAAAAATAACACATTTTGTAACCCTTAAGAGATCACCTCCATTCTTAATAAACCCACTGCCATCAAATCAATTCTGACTCATAGAGATCCGATAGGACAGGTTACAACTACCCCACAGGGTTTCCAAGGCTGTAAATCTTTCCAGAAGCAGACTACCATATTTTTCTCTAAAAGAACCACTGGTGGTTTAGAACTGCCAACCTTTGGGTTAGTAGCAGAATGCTTTATGCTACCAGGGATCCTATCTTTTTTTAATAAAAAAACAACAAAAAGAAACATCTCTGAGTCCATTTTGATTTATGGCAATCCTACAGAGCAGAGTAAAACTGCTCCATAGGATTTCTGGGATTGTAAATCTTTACGGGAGCAGAGAGACTCATCTGTTCCCCACAGAGGAGCTGGTGGGCTTGAACCACCCCCAATGCTAACCCACAACACCATCACAGCTCCACTTCTTTTCTTAACAGAGTTGGCAAATTTTACTTTCTATTAGAATTAGAAAATTAATTTACAGCTTCGGAAACCCTGTACCGGGTTGCTATGAGTCGGAACCGACTCCATGGCACATAACCACCACTACCACTTACATAGTATTATACCACTATTTCAGGTCAACCCAAATCCCAATCCCTCTACCACCGATGATTTCTGTATGAATTTTTTTTACACAACTAAACTTGATATATATCTTAAATTGATTTGCGTTTAATTCTCTTTATGTTATTCCATTTCTTTTTATAACCTCTTTTATGCTAAACAGTACTCAATGTCTCAAAACCAAATAAAAGAAAGTAATGAGAAATCCAGGGTTATCACAAAGCTCAATGACTGTCTATGAAAAAAGTTACTATACACAGTGCTTCTTGTATCCTAAAAACTTTTAAATGAAATAACAGTAATTAAAATCACTATGTCTGAAAAATTATTATTTTCTAGCCTAAATCCAAATGTTTCATAAAACACGAATTCCTAAGGAAAAAAATATTTTTTTTACTGTAGAAGATTACTATACTTAGTAATATAGAGAATTACATCTTAAATTACTAAATAAACAAAAACAAAAAAAAAACATTAATATTTCCCAAAGGTCACAAGAAAATAAAATTTGTTTTTGTTGCTGTTAAGTGTTGGTTAGTTCCAACTCTTAGTGATTCCAACTCATGGTGACTCTGTATAGGGTTTCTGAGGATCAGCTTGTGGATTTGAACCACCAACTCTGCAGTTAGCAGTCCAGTGTTTATCTTACAGTGCCATACAAGGACTCCAAGACACCTGGCTACATAAATAATTACATTAACTTCATTTAAGTCTACACAGATAATTGAGAATTTTAAAGCAGTGTTCAGTTTTCAAGTTATAGGTCAGAACCGAGTCAATGGCACATAACAACAACATTCTTAAGGTTGGAGTTCTGGTATGGCGCTGTAGAATAAGCACTGTACTACTAACTGACTACAAAATTACCAGCCATTCATTGAAAACCTTAAACAAGGTCGCTATGAGTCAGAACCAACTTGGCACACTTAACAACTATTTAGGTTTTCATTAATTTTCCTTTTCTTTCCTACTCTAATCAAAAATAACTTTTGTATACAAAATACTGTAACACATCCAAAATTAAGGATTAATAAATTCAACAAAAATCTGTAGTTTAGTTTGTAAGTGGTAACAAGCTGTAATTTTATTATAAGAATTAACAAGCAGGATCACTTAGCTGGCTAAATATTTCAACATTTCTACTATGGTCATACTTAGGTTCTTCAATTTGATATGAAATGCTGGTGTATAAAAATTAACACTGGCATATATACATGCCAACCAAATGATATGTTGTTAACTGAAAACATAATCCATAGGCAATTAATGATATGCTATCAACACACTATGGAAGCAGCATTTAATGACAATAATATTCAGTGTTGGACTACTCAGTAAGCAAGGTGAGCACTTACTTACTAATCTGCAGTGAACAATTTCACATTTTTCTCACATCAACAATTGTGCTTCTGGGTATGGTTGCCAACTGTCTTCCTCCCATACCCACAGCACATTCCTACGGAATCAAAGCCTCTTTTCAAATGTATAGTTCGTGACAGGGACAGAATGCCCGTAAGCAACATAAACACTAATTACTTATATCTACTTACTAATCTGTAGTGAACCATCCCAGATTTTTTATAAGCAAAAACCAGCCTATGCTTATCTTGCTTATTGATAACCAACCCCTAGTAATCCTGAGCAACAGTGAAGTGATAAAGACTTTTTACCTTGTAGGACACTCATCTTTTTTATCAATACTTATTGTTTGTCCACGTATATACCAGTCACCATCATAGTATAGTCTTCCTTCTTCAGACCTAGCACTGTGGAGATGTTTTTCCAGTTTCACTGGTGCTAAAGGGGTCAGTTCAAAAACTGTTATATTAATAAAACATTGTCAGAAAAACAAAAAGGTCAGACTACTACCAATTAACATTAATCCATGCATATATGTGAAAAACACCAAAACTATTTTTTCAATAACAAACCTAAAACGTAATAAAAATAAAGGAATTTTATTTCTTACATTTTTTTAAATATAATACACTAAGTTTTTAATATAATTACTAAACAAAACTAAGCATTGAACATCAAAGCATCAATTAACTAGACAGGAAGGTATAGTATCAATTACTAGTGTGAGTTTTAAGTAGCATTTAAAATTTCAATTGCTATATTTTCACTGAAAATTATTTTTCTCCTATTTTCTCCCCTGCATGTCTCTTAACACTTTAATGTAGATTCCAAGAGCTCTACAGGCCTTTCATTGGAAAAAAGGAGTAGTCCTAAGTAGGACTTCTATTTTTAAATCTTAAAAATCGTTTGGAATAAGTCAGATAAACTCATGTGGGGTGGAGTGAGTTCTTTATGGTAGTATATTGTCAAAAGCATACACTACTTAACTACCCCCTCATCATTCAAATGTCACTTCTTCAAAGGTCTTCTTCCCCAATCACCTTACTCATGCCTCAGCTAATCGTCATCACAATCTTTTATTTCTTCATAGCAATGATTACAATCTGTAATTATCTTACTAATTATTTATTTATATATTATTCTGCCTCCCCCACAAAGGCACCAGGAGATTCCAGGAGGTCCAGCTCTTTCACCATTTTTTTCTCAGTATGTAAAAGATATTCAACAGTATTCGTTCATAAATTCATTCAACTAACATTTTCAAAACACTTTCATACATGAGAAACTGGAAGTTGATAATAAAACTGTGACTAAAAGAAGTAGTTTCAGTCTTTGTGTAGCTTTCATTCTGGCCTTTGTTAGGGTAAACAAGTATAACAGTAAACAAAAGTACACATTGTGGTAAGTGCTATGAAGAAAGCACATAGGAAGCAAAGTTAAAGATGGTGGGCTTTATGTGAAGCTAAAGGATAAGCACTTGATCACAAAGTTGGTTTGAACTGCAAGGCTGGCAGTTCAAACTCATCAACCACTCCTCGGAAACCCTATACAGGGTCGCTACAATTAACAACAATTAAATAGAATAGTCACACTCTCAGAGGAATCCATGACCCCAAAAAATGTTAAGAACCACTGCTCTAGAGATTCAGGAAGTTACCTTACAGCTAATTCCCAAGTACTTTAATGCAATATTGCTGAAATTGCCTGACATGATAATAAGTTAAAGATAAGTAGAAACATTTCTTATTGATCACCCTGACTTGAAATTCCTTTTCTAGTACAAGGGGGCTTAAAAAGATGGTGGAAATTTTCCATTTATCTTTTAATTCCATTTCTCCATGAACTTTTTGAAGTCCCGTTGTATTTAAAAGAGGTTTTTTAAAAAAAACAAAAACACTAAGAGTCAGAATAGACTCAATAGCAGTGGGAAAACTTTCATTGTTGTTATATAGGTTAGGAAATCTCATTTGCAGCAAGAGAAGTAAAAACCAAAGAAACATAACCTAGATGATAACCCTCATCCCCGATGTGGCAATGATTTTAGACATTTAAAAAAGTCAAGAAGTTATACTTTAATGTGAATTTTATTAAGACATACATTAGGGGTTGGTAAATTTCTTTGGTGAATTCCATTACCAGCACTGTAATCTCTTTCTTCAGAAAAATGCATGCACAAAAGAAATTCTGAATACAATTTCTAAAAGTGTCACAAGTTCCCTGAAGTAAATCCATGGACTCCCAACAGCTTCAATAGTGAATTACTGGGCCTAGAAAGAGCACTAAATAAATACTTTTTGGATTACTGAACTATTATTAACAATAATAATGTAATTGAAACAGTGAAAGAAGAAATTCTGAAATGTTTACATGAGGCAGAAGACTCCATAAGAATTCCTCATATTTTCAGCTATAGTGTTCATAATGACATGGAATTATTGATGGAAGAACTCTCTATTATGGATGTGACTAATTCTGACTCAATAAACTGCAACAGAGAAGATTTTTAAATTCAGACTAAATGACTTACGTTCTGTTTTCACTCTGTGTGGACCCAATGTAGCCATTGCCTTAATTAAAAAAAAAAAAAAAGTTATCTAGTTACCTGAGTTTGTGGAGTTCATAAATCAAAAATATGTATTGATAAGTAGCTCAATAATAAAAGGCAAAAGAAATATTAGCTGCTTTAATAAATGTATGATGTTTAAGACCAAAATGGCCCCTAGGTGACATTGCTTACATTTGACTGTGAATCCAAAGGTTAATAGATAAAACCACCTGGCATGTACAATGGAAGACAGTACCTTGCTGATCTGCTTCTGGTAAGAGTAAATCCAAGCAAACTCTACGGAACAGTTCTACTCTGTTATACATGGATTGCCATGAGTCAGAATTAACACAATGGCAACTAGCAACAACAAAGACTGTAAAGAATATATATATATAAATAACAATTTCTCCTACAGGTATTATTAATACTTGAAATAGTATCTACTCTCAACTAAGAGGTTTCTAAAAATGAAATAATTGAATAAAGAGAACAAATCTCCACTTTCCAGCAAGCAAAGAAAACTATATAAATCTTAAATGCTTTATGATACAATACAAAGCACAATAAGTGTTCAAATATTCACATTGTTCTTTTAACAAATATTTATTAAGTGCTTTCTAAGTCAGACTTGGGCTAAGCACTAAACACAAAACGCTGATTTATTACTGTTTGGGGGCAACCTAAAAAAATGCTTTTCAGCCCTCTGCATAAATTATTAAGTCATTAAGTCATTCGACCAGGGGCAGGCTTGCAGGGTATACCCTTTGGTTGGTTGATGATATGCTCAGGTGATTGTAACCATAGCAATGTAATGATATACAATGATGAATGTAGAGCTAATGTTTTCCCATGTAAACTATCACATAATTCACAATAAAACATTTTTTAAATAATTATTAAGTCATTATTACAGGAAAAATTAAATATAATTAAGTTGTTGATATGCTTCTAATTCTTAAAATATTCTTGCTGTCCACTGTTAACTATAACAACTATTTTAAAGAGAACATTGTAAGATGAAAGCAATTTTGCAATAATCATATTTTGATAGAGTATGAGTGATAAAACAAATTAAAAATATATAAATATACTGTGTTCCACTATTGTGTTAGTCATACCTTCCTAATTGTTGTCCAGTCTTCAAGAATATCAAGATCTTGTAGCATATAAACTATATATGGACGTTGAAGAGTCAAGGTAAATGTAGCTATAAGAATTTTATACTTTGAAGTAATAACAACAAAAATAAATACTATTACATATCTAAGCCTGTAATAATAGTAATGGCAATAACCTGTGAGTAGATATACAAGCAGACACTAAGTAGAGCACGGGTAGGAAAAAGAACAGGACTATACCCATGAATATATATTTATATATTTTTTTTTTTTTGACAGAGTATATTTCTACATATGTGTTACAACTATCTATATCCACAGATACTACAGAGCATACAGGGGGCAAAGTTATGAAAACTTCGTAATCATAATCAATCACTTTGAGGGAATGAGTTGCTGGGCTTGGGGGCTCAGGACACGGTCTCAGGGACACCAGGATCAACTGGCATAACAAAGTCCACAAAGGAAATGTTCCACATCTTATTTAGGTGAGTAATGACTGGGATCTTAAAAGTAATGACTGGGCTCTTAAAAGCATCTGAAGTCTCATCTCTCCCCATCAGGAACAAAAAAGAGTAAAGAAAATCAAAGACACAAGGAAACAATTAGTCTTAAGGACTAATGGATAATGTGAACCCCAGCTTCTACCAACCAAAGAACTAGAGGGTGCCCAGCAAGATGGTGTTTTCAAAGGGATCATAACAGGAGGTCCTGGATAGAGTAGGAGAAAAATGTGGAACAAAACTCAAAATCATCAAATATACCAGGTTTACTGGTCTTAGTGAACCTGATGGAACCCCCAAGACTATGACCCTTAGACATCCCTTTCAAGCCTGGAACTGAACTCACCCTTGTAGCTCAACTTTCAGCCAAGTAACAGACAGGCTTATGAGGTGAACTATAACACCAGGGAGGTCTGCATTCCTTAGAATAATCAACCACACAAGATAACAAAAGGCAGCATTAGCTCAGGAATCAAGCTCAGTAGGCAGAAACAGGTAGAAGAATAACATCTGGAAGAGGGCTATTACATTGTGAGGATTGCAATCAATGTTACAAAACAAGATGCTCAAGCACTATTAAATGAAAAACTAATTTGTTCTAAAGTTTCACCCAAATCACAATAAAAAAATGGTTGTTTTTAAAAATTACACTTTGAATAATATGACCTGCAAAGTTCAATTGTTCAGAGAATGAAACAATAGTTTTTGGACATAATCCTTTGGCATGCTAAATTCTAATTTCAAATTATTCTGCAAAAAACTTAGCAACAGGATAAACCCACATATTTCCATAATTCTATGAAATCACTGATTGTAAGATATACCAAACTTAATCACTGCTTTAGGAGTGGACTTGAGAGCAGAGGGTGCCACAATTGAATATACACATTAAAGATATTTCAATTTTAGAGGCATTAAACATGTTTAAAAGTGCACATGACACTTATACTACACAGCTGTTTCAAATAAAAGGTCTTGTGAGCTATAAATGCACACTAGTTTTCAACACTTACACTGTGACTAAATTTCCACTCTTCCAAGCACTCAGCTTATCCAAATTATATACAGTGTATCTGTCTTCAGTATCATAAATCATCTTTTGTTTATTAGACAATCATACAAATAAAAATCAAAGTGTACTAATAAAAGTTACAAAGGTATACACAATGCCAAAAGAGTACACAGAAGCAAAAAGAAAACATGGAAAAGGATATCTGATACAACAACTGGCTTCTTTTTGTCAGGACTGAAAGGATCCTTCCTCTTTTTTCTTGACTGAAGTTCATCGTTCCATAACTCTGACAAGTAAAATAAAGCACTAAGTATTAGATGAAATCTAGTCATCAAGGGGTAAAAGTAGAACTAAATAATCTCATGACGGATGTTTGTTTTTGCACAAAACTTCCCTAGTAGCTATGTATAAACGCATATATACCTAAAGCTGTAAATAATTTCATTACGAATTTTTCTATACCTTTGTTAAAGTAAACATCAACTTGCACTTCTGGTAGCATAATGACTAACACCTGATGAATATGTTTCAGGCACTCTGGTAAGTATATACCACATGTACTGATTCACATAATCCTTAAAGCTGCCCATGACATAGGTACTTCCATTTTACAAATGTAGCAATCTAGTGTCTCTGTCTTCTCTGTGCATACGCTATACTAGATGGAACACACAGAAATCAGATTGATTACATCTGTGGGTAGAGATAGCAGAAAAACTCCATATCATCAACCAAAACCAGGCCAGGAGCAGACTGTGAAACGAACTATCAATTGCTCATATGTAAGTTCATGCTGAAACTAAAAATAATTAAAACAAGTCCACTGCAGTCAAAATCTGACCTTGAACATATCCCACCTGAGTTTAGATATCATCTCAAGGACAGATTTGATGCAGCAGACTCTAATGACCAAAGACCAGAAGAGTATTGGGATGACATCAAGAACATCATACAGTCCAATTAAAGTTAGAAAAAAAGATTTTCTACCTCTTTCTTAGCTAACCTGAAAATGTACTTAGCTGGAACATAACATTCCCCAAACCTTTGGTTAGCATAAAATTCTTTAAGAATATAAGTAAACACACACCAGCATCACCACCACCAAAGCAATAACACCTGTCCCTTTAAGTAAATTCTTTGCCTTTGAGGTCTTGATTCTGCATTACTCAAGATTTTGCCACACTTTATTTTCTATAGTTAAAATACAATTTCAAGAACATTTTTTTAATTGTCAAAATTAAATTACACATTGATTTTGAATAAGCATTTCCAAATTAATGTGTGTATCATCTTACATGATCTAGATAGTAATATAAGTGTTAGAACTGTTAGAAGTATAGTTTTATAGGCTTTATTTAATCCTAGGAAACATATTTAGGAAATAGTCTAAGAGGAGTATGCAAGTACTTCATTGTACCTTTGATTTAATAATAACTACTACCCCAGTTGTCCCATCAATAGATTGGCTAAGTAAATTATAGTGCCTTCGTATACGTTATTTCTATGTATCCATTAAGAGGGTCAGGTATGTCTGAATTATTATGGCAAACTGTCCAAAATTTACTATTATGTAAAAAGTTGTGCAAGCATTTTTATTTTTAAAATGTGATCTAAAAACATTGGAGAAATGATGTCACATTGTTATTGGAGGTTTTTGAGGAAGTAACATGGGAAGAACTTTCATGATCTGCTTTATATAGCTCTATATGTTTTTGTAAACCTAAATAAAGATGAAAAAACTACAGTTGCAAAAAGAAAAAAAGAACATCATACAGAACGAAAGCAAAAGATCATGTGTTGTTGTTGTTAGGTGCCATCGAGTTGGTACCGACTCATAGCGACCTATGTACAGCAGAACGAAACACTGCCCAATCCTGGGCCAACCTAACTACTGTCACCACACTAGAGTCTATCGATGCTGCCACTTGGCCAATCCATCTCATTGGGGGTGTTCCTCTTTTTCTCTGACCCTCCACATTACCAAACATGATATCCTTCTCCAGTGACTGGTTCCTCCTGACAATATGTCCAAAACATGAGAGATGAAGTTTGGCCATTAAGAAGACAATAAACAAAGAAAAGACCAAAATGGATGCCAGAAGAGACTCTAAAACTTGCTCTCCAGTGCAGAGATGGAAGAAGTGAGGAAGTAAAGGAGCTGATAAGAAAAAAATTAATGGGCAACTCAAGAAGATAAAGTCAATTATTATAATGAATTGTGCAAAGACCTGGAATAAGAAAAACAAAAGGGAACAACACACTTAGCAGTTCTTAAGCTGAAAGAAATGAAGAAAAAAAATTCAAACCTCAATGTGCAATACTGAAGTGCAAAATACTAAATGTTTCAGAAAAAAATCAAAAGGAGATAGAAGGAATACACAGTCATTGTACCCAAAAGAAATGGTCAATGTTCAACCATTTCAAGAGGTAGTATATGATTAAGAGCCAACGATACTGAAGAAAGAATCCCAAGGTGATTCTTGGCTTGACAGCATTATTACTGCAGGAAGAAATCCAAGGTGCACTGAAGCCATTGGCAAAGAACAAGACTACGGGAATTGATTAAATATACACTGGAATCTTTCAACAAACTGATGCAGCATTGAAGGCACTCATTCATCTATGCCAAGAAATTTAGAAGGCAGCAACCTGGCCAACTGATTGGAAGAGATCCATACTTGTGCCCATTCCAAAGAGAGGTGGCACAACAGAATGTGGAAACCATCAGACAATACCATTAATGTCACATGCAAATAAAATTATGCTAAAGATAATTCAGAAACAGTTGCACAGTACACTGATAGGGAACTGCCAGAAGTTCAAGGCAAATTCAGACGTGGATGTGGAATGAGGGATACCATTGCTGACGTCTGATGGATCTTGGCTACAAGCAAAGAGTAATAGAAAGATGTCTACATATGCTTTATTGACTATGCAAAAGCTTTCAACTGTGTGGATTACAACAAGCTATAGACAACACTGTGGAGAGCGAGTATTCTGGAACACTTAGTTGTCCTCATAAAGAAACAGTACAAAGAGGCAGGTTCTGTTCATTCACACAGAACAAGGCGACACTGAATGGTTTAAAATCAGGAAATATATGCTCCAAGGTTGTCTTCTTTCACCATATGTATTCAATCTGTATGCTGAGGAATTAACCTAAGAAACTGGATTATATTGGAGGAAGACTCATTGACAACCTGTGATATGCAGGTATACAACCTTGTTTGACGAAAACAAAAAGGACTTAAAATACTTACTGATGAAGATCAAAGACCAGGGCTTCAATATGAATTACAATGTAAAGAAAACAAAAATCCTCACTACTGAACCAATGGTAAATAGAGAAAAAATACTGAAGTTGTCAAAGACTTCATTTTGCTTGGATCCACTATCAACATTTATGGGAAAAACAGTCAAGAAATCAAATGACATATTGCATTAGGCAAGTCTGCTACACAAGACCTCTTTAAAGTAAGTATTCAAGAGCAAAGATATCAGTTTGAAGACTAAGGTGCATCTGACCCAAGCCATATAGTATTTTCAATAACCTCATGCACATGCAAAAGTTGGACAATGAATAAGGAAGACCATAAAAGAATTGATGCATTTGAGTTACAGTGTTAGAGAATGTATTAAAAGGACCATGGACCGAAAAACTATAGAAAGAATCAACAGGACTAGAAGCTGGTTCTTTGAAAGGATTAATAAAATTGACAAACCATTAGCAAAACTAACTAAAGAAAAGATGGAGGACTTCCGGTACAGCAGGACAGCAAGAAAAGGTAGGGACTTGCTCCATCGGAAAAAACAAGTGGGATCTCGCAAAGGCAACATTCATAGACCAGTCCCATGGCTTTTGGACTATCATAGTCTCTCCTGGGCTCACATTTTTGAGAAACTGCACTAACAAGGATAAAGAAAAGCAAGTATTTTGGGACTCTCCTGCGGAGACTGAGGGTAACTCCTGTGACTGCAGAGTTGAGAGTGGGACCAGGGCCAGCCTGCTTGGACAGCTGCATCTCCCAGAAGGGCCAGAGGTGACAGAACTTCCTCCCACCCCAAGTCTTCCTGCCCTGGTGTGAGATTCCAATAAAAATCAGCCGGTACAGTGCACCCACGCACGTAGAGTTCTTGTTGACTACACATCCCTCCTGGAGGTGGGAACTTATCCTTCCTACATCCCATAAGAAGAAATAGCAATCGTGGCCATATAGCTAAGCTACAACATAATACTCCACCACTTAGATGAGACCCAACAACATTTGCTACTATTTACAGATGAAAAGGGAAGACCATCTCCTGACCACATTAATAACAATAATAATAATAATAAAATACGCATGACCAATAAGAAACAATCAGCTTTATCAAAGCATGTCCAAAAACAGAAGAAAGGACCTGACACAATTGAAGTGGAGACAGACAAAGCCTTCATAGAGGAGGAGGAACGAGTTTTGGATATGCCTGAGAGGGAATTCAGAATAATGGTATGGAAACAAATTCAAATAATCCGAAAAGGGGTCAAGGAAAATTAGGAAGAAGTAAAAAAAAATTCTCCAGGAACAATCAAATAGAATAGACACAGCATTGGAAACAATTCAAAACCTGCAAAAAGATGTCCAGGTGATCAACAATAAGATATAAGAAATAGACGATAGCATTAAAGGAGAAAGGAGCAGACTAGAAGAGATGGAAGTCAGAACTAGCGAGCTGGAAGACAGATCTCTCAATACTGCCAAGGTAGAAAAAAAAGCAGCTAAAAGGATAAAACAATCTGAAGAGAGTCTAAGATTCATGCTGGATAACATGAAGAGGAATAATGTAAGAATTATTGGCATTCCAGAGCAAGAAGAAACAAAGAAATCTACAGAAGAGATCGTGGAAGAGCTTCTGCAAAAAAATTTCCCTAACATCTTGAAAGACGAAAAGATAAGCATTCAAGAAGCCCAATGTACTCCAGGAAGGATAGACCCCAGAAGAAAATCTCCAAGCCATATAATAATCAGGCTATCAAAAATCAAAGACAAGGAAAGAATATTAAAAGCAGCCAGGGAGAAGAGAAATATAACCTATAAAGGCAAACAAATAAGATTAAGCTCTGACTATTCAGAACAAACCATGCAGGCGAGTAGGCAATGGGGAGACATATACAAAGCCCTGCAAG